TACTAGCCTTTCTTTTTTTTTTTTTTTTTAAAAAAATGTTTTTATTTATTTTTTTTAGAGAGAGAGAGAAAGGGAGAGGGATAGAAGACAGAAACATCGATGATAGAGAAGCATTGGTTGGCTGCCTCCTGCATGCTCCCTACTGGGGATCGAGCCTGCAACCTGGGCATATGCCCTGACCAAAAATTGAACCAGCAACTTTTAGGTGCATGGGCAATGATCAATCCACTGAACCACACTGGCCATGCAATATTAGCCTTTCTTAATGATACAGAATTTTTTTGAGGGTACTGCTAATACAATTTTTAAAATGTTAAAATACTAATAATTTGTGATGCTTTAGATACACTGCTTTACACATTAAGGAGACCATACTTTAGAAAAATGGAAAATGAGGACGCCCTGGTCTGCATATCTGAGAGCATTCCAGAACCAACTGTGGAATGGGTGTTTCGTGATTCGCAGAGTGAAAGGTACGATGTGTATATAGAGGAAACTGTGATGATTCCTATACTTATTTGGTCTTTTTCTAACACAGTTGATGTCATACTGGATGCACAGTTGAACTTGTCACCATGTTAACAGGAAACTTTGGCGTTTGGAATGATTAGCTTGGACTTTAACAGGGGGCGAGGGGGTCTCTGTTTTAGTAAGGAGGCCTTTTGGAACTCTCCTATGTTGCCTCACTAAACTGCAGGGTCCTCCCTGGACATAACACAACACGAATAAAAGCCCTTTAAGTTACAGGGTTGTTAGCTCCCTGAGTATCTGGTTGGGGAAAAAGAAAGGTATGGACTGTAGTGCATTGTTCCCTATAAGTAAGAAATTCCCTGGAAATAAATGCTTAATTTGTGGTTATTCTGTTTATTTTGGAAGAGAGCAGTTTAAATTGATTGTTTAAGGACATAGAATCTGGCCTGAGTTTGAACCCTGGCTTGCTAACTAACTGTGTGGCCTTGAGCATGTTGCTTAATCTCCTTTCTCATCAGAAGAATGGGGATGGTAACCGTACTTATCTCATAAGATTGCTATGGTGATTAAATGATTTGCAAATTTTGAAACACAAAGAACTATGCCTGGAGATGGTAAGTACCACATAACTGTTTACTTTTGGTTTTTAAATGTGCAATCGCTAAATTTTCACAAAGTAAAAATGTATGCAATTTTAGCTAATTAAAATTTATTTAACAACTTTTGTTGTAAAATAGGACGAAAGGGGAGAAAAAGAAATGATATTAATGTGATCCCAAATTTTAGATGGGAAAGAAAAAGAGATTACCTGTAGATAGGTATGTGATGTATGCATAGACAACAAGAAAATTAGAAAGCTACACACAAAAATTTGGGTAATTTAAAACTCTTTTCTTTGTTTTTTTTCCCCCTAAAGTTTCCAAAATTCCTACAATGAACCCAAACTATTGTTGTCTTATTGTCCCTGGAAAGGGACTGATCGATGTTTCTCTCTCATCGATGTTTCTAACTCTCTATCCCTCTCTCTTCCTCTCTGTAAAAAATCAATAAAATATATTAAAAAAAGAAAATTAGAAAGCTACACACAAAAATCTGGGTAATTTAAAACTCTTCTTTGTTTTTTTTCCCCCTAAATTTTCCAAAATTCCTACAATGAACCCAAACTATTGTTGTCTTATTGTCCCTGGAAAGGGACTGGGCCCAGAGTGGGTCTGCCTAGGCTGGCAGTAGTGTGTGGGTTCTTGACTTTGTACAGGAAAGATTTTACAACACGAGTCCCGGTGATTTTGAGGGTATGTTTATTAAAGCTGGGACAGTGAAACAATAAAGGGCTTAGGATAGAAGAAGCAACAGGAGAGAAACAGGCGCAGCTGCTTTGGCCTCTAGAAATGTTATAGGAAAGAAGTGAGCTAAGGGAGGCTGCTGCTAGCTCACTGGGAAGTCAGAGAAAAGGGGGCCTTAGGGACCGGTTTAGGGGGTTAGCTCGGGACCCCTGCTGCTGCCCATTGCTCCCGTGGTTGCACGTTTCGTGGGGACCCTTGGAGTTTAGGAGAAAGGCAGCAAAAGTATACAACCGAGAAATGGAGGGGCATGGGCATACTCCAACGAGAGCACACACAGGCTTCCTTTATCTTGAGGGTTTTTATATCTGTTTTCTAAAGGCAGAAAATTTAGGGGAGATCTCAGCAGAATATTTATCAGCTCTCCAGGTCTGTCCTTCAGTATGCTGATTCATTGAAATGAACGGATAGAGGAGTCTGGGTCATTCTCTGGTCAGTTTCACCTTGAAAGAATGTCATCGAAGAGGTACCTGAGGGAGGCAGGTCTGTCCCCCGGCACCCAGTATGGAATGTGTAAACCATTTGCTCCTAGGTATGCTTGGTTAGGAAAGATAAGACCTTGCAATTTATTATTTGTCTGTAAATTGCTTGGCCAGTTTGTTTAGCTTTGTTTCTGTTTCTCCATGACACTTGCCAAGGCATTTTCCTAGCTTTTGCTATCCTGCTTCAATATAATAAGAAAGGAAAAAAGCTCTCATGGGATGATGCATAAACAAAGAAAAAAACACACCTGCCTAAAATGATAAAGAGGAGAAAAGTGACTGTACACAGACTCCAAAAGCGTCTCTGCTTTGGGAAAGGTCATGATTAGGGGAGCTCTCCGGAGGACCAACGAACCAACGAACAGAGGGCCAACGTCCATCCTCCGCTGAGGGAGGAGAGGAAAGGGAGCTCCACCAAGTCCTGAGAAGTGGCTGATGTCCCTTAGGAGGGACACCTCGACTCTCCCCTGTTAGTTCTGGGAACTGATGACTCCCTCTCAACTGGTTGTCTCTTCTGTGCTTCAAAGAAAAGCTCTGTTAAGCTGTATTATAAAACTTAATCATGCTTTTCCCTCTTTTCCTCCCCTAACTTCTGTCTTCTTTCTCAATTCTTTTTCTCTCTAAACAGCAACAAAGGAGTCACCAAATACAAAAAGTTGGAAACTGTTCTATTATGTAATTCTCTCGAGTGTTCTTCTCATTGTTGAGATAGAGTGTAACTAGTCCCCTATGAACTCGGCTGAAATGACAGATGTGGGTTTTTATCTAATGCCCCTTGACCTGCTCCCTCTTTGCACTCTTAAATAGACTCTTAATAAAACAGGCTCTGCAACCTGTAACTTCGTTCTTCTCCTGAACATTCATTTGTAATTTTAAAATATGTTTAGTCAAATGACATTTATTTTCTAATTATAGCTATAAAGGAGAAAGTCCACCCATTGTTACAAAGGAGCAAAGTGTACTTTATGAGTTATTTGGAACAGACATAAGGTGCTGTGCAAGAAATGAGCTGGGCAGGGAATGTACCAAGCTGTTCACTATAGGTAAGACCATAATGTTTCAGTGACTATTCCTTAGAAACGATCTGGGACTACTGCGACCGTTTAGGTCAGTGATGGTGAACCTTTTGAGCTTGTCGTGTCAAAATTTTGAAAAACCCTAACTTAACTCTGGTGTCGTGTCACATATAGAAATATTCATAATTTTTTTTGATATTTGCAACCATAGTAAAAAAAGATTTATATTTTTGATATTTATTTTATATAATTAAATGCCATTTAACAAAGAGAAATCAACCAAAAAATAGGTATAAAATGAACAAAAACAGAAAAACAATGTACATTTAGGAAAAAATAATAATAAAAACAATGATAATCAAATGGTACGAAAACTAGAAATTAGTGACTTTTTTGGTGCTGAAGTTTGTCTGCTAATTCTTCGATTGCAGGTTCATACTTGGTGCACTTCAAGGCCAAGCAAGCGCCACTAACTTCATCTGTTAGCCAGTTTCTTTTGTTCGTTTTAATATTATTTAATGCTGAGAACAAAGTCTCACAAAAATATGTTGATGAAAAAATTGT